GGAAGACTAGACCTCACTAAAAATGATGTCAACAATAACCTAATAACATCTAAAAATAAAATATCTTTTAAAATTAACAACATAAACACTAATCCATCTCATTTCTACTAAATCGAAATCTACAATTCCAAACTCAATACCTAACAAACAACTATTCTTCATCCCTAATTTTTACAACATAAAATTAAAATTAACACAATAACTTTCAATTAAGAATTAAAAACATAAAGCCCTACGTTCTTCCATTGTTCAGTTTGGTTCTTCCCGCATGTGACAAAACCTGTAATCAAAGCTTCTTCCACCTTCACACACAGCAACAATGTATCGCACCTCTTCCTCTCCTCATTAGTGCACAGTAAGTCACCCCGCAAGACTTCAGCTTTGCCTCCCATATGGATTTTGACACCGCCTGCAGCCCCCCCCCCCCACTGAAAGCAACGATGTCGACTTCGGTCGCTCCAACCGCACAGGATGCCCTGGATGCCTTGTACTGCACGCGGCTTCAGTTTCTTCCCTTGTGTACAAAACACTCAGTTCCAAGGCCTCAACACGCTTAGTTAGGGCTACACCATGAGGCATGATTTCCCCTCCTACCTCTTCCTTCTTTATCTGCGCTCTTCACTTCTCTGTTTTACCTCTTGGTCTTGCTAACTCTTCTCCTCTCCTTCAATTCGAATGATCAGCTTAGGGTCTGTTTAGGGCAATTGCAGCTGTTTGAAGAAGCAACTCTGAAGCAGCTACAGAGAAAATTGCTTTTGAAAAAATTGCAGTAAGTATTAAAAACTTAGTTCATTTTTAAAAAATCAAACCGCAGTTTTCTGGCAGCCAACACACTTTAACAGTTTGAGTTAAAAAATGTAGTTTTCTACCATAAAAATTTCTAAAAAACAGTAAGAAAACAATACACCAAACAAGATTGGTGGCGATCTGAAAAACAAAACAGACAGAAAGCTATCCCAAATAGATCCTTAATTGTCTCCTAAAAAAGAAAACGTCAACAATTAACCTCTTTTGAACCGACACTATTAGTCAGGAAAAAAAATTAGATTTAATTAATTATTTATTTTACACAGTTGTTATAGAAGAAAATGAAGACATCAAAAAAATTTATCAGCTTATAGCCAAAGAGGGAGAGAAATTAATGATTCAAGCTGAGCTCATGAGAGACTCCAGTAGAATTAACATTAGTTATCATAGAAAGTTGAGTCCAAGGAGCTGACGCCATAAAAGAGGCAGCCTCTATTGAGAGAGTAGTCGAATATCATGACTGACAATTTATCTCCTGGGTGATTGTCATGAGAATAGTCCAACATGACATAATTATCATTTAAGAGTCGATTTGTACCGACATTTGTTTATTGACTACACCCAACTGAGTACAAGGAGTGGAAGAAGAAGGTTCAAAATTTAGTGGCTCAAGAATTAGTTCAATAGAATTGTTGTCATGTGCAGTTTCAGCTCTGGTTATGCCAAAAATGAATTGCTATTTATTTTATCAGGTCAAACTTTAAAAGGACGTAAACATTCCAGAGTTGTATTGGATGGGCATGAGCATAAACTTCGTAGTGGGGCTCCCCACATCACAGCAGTGCAATGACTTTGTTACAGAGAAGAAGAAAATGTCTCTCCTAGCCTGGGAGGATGGCATGGGAGCGTCCCACTGATCACAGGATCACAAATGACATGTATGGCATCATCTTTTTGGAATTTAGTTCTACTGCACGCAGGGCTATTCTATTTTTGGTGTTTCATATCTGTTCCTTACTTTGCTCTTCTTTGGCTTCGAATCTTGTGTTTATCATTCTAGAGCTTCCTTTATCTTCATGCCAATTTTGTATCAGCTGTTTGATGGCTTCTGACACTTTGGCCTTAATTGGATGGTGGACTTCTTCTGCTTCATGGTAGGTTCTTGCCTGTAAGGATTCATGCTTAACCCAATTTCAATGTCGGTGCCATCCTAAGATCAGTTTCTACATCCTACGAATGCGTGAAGAACATCAGAACATAAGTTGCTTAAAATTTTGTGCGTATAATCGCATAATCGCATTCCTTTGGCATAACTCTTGAACCTTTAAGCCCTTATTTATAAGACAGGATGAGCTACACAAGTACTCAATTAACATTAAATAGTATACACCGACTAATCGTAGCTTGAGAAGACTCAGCCGTGAAGTTGGATGAACCTTGAAATCGATCCTAAAGGAGGGCTGCCATTCACCGCGCGGTGTTTGACTGCCGGACTCCCATGTCCAACTTTTCCTCCGGTGGAGCCAGCAGCATTCAACATGCCGAAGGTTAGCTTCAACTGAACCTGCAGCATTCGACATGGGATTCTAGGCTAAACTCAAGCCGGTTCAATGCTTAGATAGCCAGTTCTTGGACCCAGATCAAGTTCGCTTGAAACTTGATCAGCATTATCCCGCCGAGTATGAGTGTTCACCATCTAAATCTCAAACCCAAACAACAATTCTAATTCCCTCCTCCAATAACTAGTAGGTAACAAAGACTCTGTCTCATTTCTCTCATTTGGAAGCAAATCACATTCATGCACGGAGAAACTATCGACATTTAAGAATGCCGTTTTAAAAGGCGAGCAAGAAATGCAAATGCTCTGAAAAAAACACATAAACGCAGCGAGAAAAGAAAAGATTCAACTGCAAAAATGACAGATGAGGGAAAATCGAAAGATTACCTAACTCCGGCGATGGTGGCCACGGCGACGCCTCAGGAAGCCGCGCTTGTGGCAGTCGAACGGTCGAAAGGGGGGAGCTAGAAGGCGACCGGGTCGATGAGGTTTTGAGCCGGGGGGTGCTTCGACGTCCTCCTTGTCCAAACCAGTCACGTGGGTCTTAGATGAGCCCAACTTTGCGGATTTGAACCATGTTGGAGCCTATGGAGGGCATGAGATGGCGCCAATCCAAGAGCTTTTAAAATCAGAGATATAGATGGAAATAAAGTGCAATCTTGCTCTCTACTTTTTTTCATGGAGAAACACGATGCATCCGATTTTTCTTTTTTTCTTTTTTTTTTTTGCTTCAGATGTGTTGCATTTGTTGTCGTATCGCTTTCGTTGTCCAGACGTTGCTTGCGTCCGGACTCCGGAAGCAATATTTTCTTTTTTTTATGTATCTCTCTTTCTGCAACATATTTTCTTTTAGTAGGGTTTTGGCTCTCTTGAGCTTCTTTTCTTCTCACTTTTTGGCAAAGTGTATTTAAAAAGATATCAAGTCTTGTTTTAAATTGATTGGCTCGCTAAGAATGATGGGGATAATCAGAGGTTATGGTTACTTTTCTCCTTTGGGTTGTGCCTCCATCACTTTGGCATCATTGAAGCCAATACTCCCAGAGCTTGCCCTACGTTCATTCTCGACTACATTCAAATATGCATCATTCTAAAATACTGTTTCATTTACTTTTCTCAACGGAAAAGTCTTTCTCATCTCCCAAAATACCACCTCTCAAGAATTTTCATGTGGGTTTGTTCCTAGCTTAAAATAGGGGTGTAAATAAGTCGAAAAGGAGCAGGCTTGGGTTATGTTTGTGTTCGGCTCATTTGTGTTAACACCTATTTAAAATCGGCTTGTAATGAGTATGTTCGTGTTCAAATTGATATTATTCAATTTATTTATGACCATCTCAATTTTGTTCGTTTGTTAGCTCGATTTTAGCTTGAATTAAAACCAGCTCAATGCAGAAGCCTAAATTTTCACACAAGCCAAACTATTCTAAAACTGTAAGAAAAATGTCCTGATAGCTTTAGGACTAACAAAATTTTATCGTTTTTTAACCTTTTGGCGAAATTCTTTCTGTTTTTTTCCTCCTTGCGTATCAGTCAATTCTTATGTATTTACATGTCCAGCACCAGTACAAATATAAATGTGGGCCAGCTGCATTCCTTTTTTTAAACACAAATATCTTTTTTATATATATATCCACCACAAATATATATATATATATATATATATATATATATATATATATACTTTTTAAAATTTTTCAAGTTAAAACACGTTGAACATAGATGAACCAATTTTTGTTCGTGATTGGATTATTTAGAAATCGAGCTCAAAATGATTGTTCGTGTTCAGTTCGCTTAACGAACAAATCAAACACGGGTTTTTTTAATGAGCCGAACATGAGTTGTTCGCAAACGATGAGCTTTTTTGAGAGCCCTAGCTTAGAGTTATATTCTCCTTCTCTGGTAAGGAAGTTATCCAAATAATTAACGTTTGCACTTATAGTATATTCCCTAGGTAAAAGTTGTTTTTATCCAGCATTTTCTCAATTTTTTTTAAAAATAGAGTGATGATGATGCATACCTTATATTTATTTTCACTTGATAAGAGATTTTAACTCATGGAGTTTTCTTATATGAAAGATTTTGATTTGGCCTACATAGGTGCCCCATGATTTTTCAACATTTCCGTGTAGTCTCTTGGATACGGACATGCTCGTCTTTTGAAAATTTCACCCAAAATTACATAAACTATCTCTTGTTGAGATGTTAGGTCAAAAATTTGTAGAGCCCACAATAGAACCACCCTAAGATAGTTTTATAATTTGAATATGATTTAACTATAATAAATGAATAGAGAAGGACCCTAATAAAAAATTCCTTAGATGTTTTAAGACGTGTGATTGTTTTTCATTCTCATTGGTCAATTATCAAACCAATGATACGCACAAAATGCTTCGAAGCACCGTAAAATCATGCAAATATACGTGTCGTCCACTTATTATACGGAACTGAGTCTGTGTGTCAATCACACAAGGAACGAGTGAACTCCCAAAGTCCAAAAAAGTTATATTTTATTAGTGTTGAATCTAGCCAAAATGTTTGAATTTCTATGAATTTTTAAATTTATTAATCCAATTTTTTGGAGAATTGAAACCTATGTCCAACTTGTGAGAATGTGTTGATGGTTGTGAACACTTGAAAAAGTATCCCCTAAATTAGCTCTGTGATATTCTATATTCAATTATGTGATTCAAATTGTGGGTGACAACCAGCAACTGTTCTCTTTCTTATCCCCTCCAAGGCGTCTAAGTATACTTGGTAATCATACATGTTTGGTTCTCTAAATTAAATAGTTAGCCCAATATCTATTATTTCCCACCACGAGTGCACTGATCTAGAAGCAATATTCATTTTCATAAATGTTTCACCAGCACGCTCCTTCACAACTAGATCACAACACATTTAAATTCTACAATTGGCAAGACATTAGAAAAGTCTAACTCGAAAATCGTACATCATCAGTTAAAGGAAGAAAAGATAATATACTCGTCATTCATGCTTCGAAACAACTCAATAATCATTTTATTTATAAGAAAAATTAAGAACAATAGTTTAAAATTTAAAACCATAAAGAAATCACCCAAAAAATGCAGCACTTGTTTTTTTTTCCCCCACCTCCAAATAATATACTGAAAATACACGAGTAATTCCATACTCAAATCCTCACTCTCCACACTAGATGCTCTCTCACACTTAAGGCTTCAATATGGAGTACTCCATGTTCTATTTGAATGTGTACATTCCCCTCTTGCTCTCGTCCAAAGTCATTTCATACTATCCTTCGCAAATCGACCATTTGAACCGTCAAACCTATCAAAATGTGCGCACTAGCGCCTGAGCACGGGTAAGCACGTTAAGCGGCGTCAAGACATTGGTATGTAATGAGAGATGAACTTATAACTCTTTTGATAAATGAATCTCTCTACAAATCCCAAAGTACACATTCAGACGATAGATAGTAGTATTTTAGATATTATTAGTAATATTATGATAATATTTTATTAAAATATTACTACAATACCAATATTAATAGCTTAAATACTAACTATCATATGCGAAATTTGGATGTAATATTTATGTATAAATAAGTAAAAATTAAAACTATAAATAAATCAGAAATGAGTGGAATTTAATGTAACTCTTAAGAAGGTAATAATAAGAGAGGGCGGGGGAGGCGAAGGGTTGGCTGTGAGAAGGATACAATTAAACTCGGGACAAGACGGACGGAAAAGACTTGTCGTGAATTAAATTACATCAATAAATCAAAAATTTGAAAGATCTGAGCTTTGATCAGACGGATGGGATTGGTGAGCGGACGGGTTGATTGGCCCATACACTGATGCATGCGTCATCATGAGAGAGAAAATAATTATTCTCTCTCCCGCGTTTTTACATTATATTTACACATATAATAATAATAATAATAATAAAATTTGGTTTATTTTATCACAAATTTGGATATTTAAGGGAGAATTTCAAAATAATTGGAGGAGGATATTGGACTTGTAAATAATAATTTTTAAGTGTTATTTACCTAATTTAATTTTTTTGTTATTATTTTTTTTTTTACTAATTCTTTGGATTTTATATAACTATTTAATTAAAGGTTATGGTATTATCTTTAAAGTTTATCTTATTAAGGATCAATTTATTCATAAGATTATTCTTTAAAATATAAGAAAATGTTATTGGAATTTTTTTTCTAACATCTTTTCATGCTTAAGATTGTCACAAAATTTTTTTTTTTTTTTTCGAGAACAACTCGTGTTCTGTTTATTCGTTAAGCAAATGAGTCGAACAGCTTGAATCATAAACGAGTCAAATGCAAAAAACTCTTTCTTCACTCATGTTTCGATATCTAAATTTAAATAATAATAGCTCATATGGTGACGTGATTCTGCTTCTTCTTTTGTATGTATTTGGTCCAAGTTCAAATCTAAGACTCTATATCTATCTTTTTCAATTTATTTTGACAAGGCAATTTCGATGAACAAAATTATTTAAATCGAGCAGAATACGAACACATATTCACGAGTTGATTTCAAACACGACCCGATTTCGAACACGAGTAATTTTAAACAAGTCGAACATGAGGCAAGCCATGAATACTATTAGGATCTTTACAGGAGATTTTACATATTATGGTTGTTTAACTAGAAATAAAAATCAGACAAATGTCACTCATATCAATAAAGTCCTAAACTCCAAAAATTAATTTTTTTAAGGCAATTCTCACTAGGTGATAATGAATTGAAGAGGTTAGTTATAGTCTTATTTAATAGTTTGTTGGTAAATTAATCTAGGCCATATACCATCCTTTTTTTTATTATTATATTTTTCTTCATGATTTCTCTAGCCACTCCCTTATCATCCCTTATTCTAAAATCATTTGGCTAGAACCCAATGATATTGTATTTAAAACATATTCGGTAAAGAGTAGCTTTGGATTTAGATATATGATTCTCTCATCATAAGTGTTGTGAGATATGTACTTTCTGACATAAAAATGAAATGCAAAGAATACAAGTGAACATAGATCGTTTACGTGGTTCGATCCAACTGGATCTACGTCCACGTGATGAAATCAATCAAATAGTTCAATAAGAGAAAAGAAATAGATAATACATAGCTTATATATAGAAATGAAGAGATGAGCCCTCATCTTCCTTCTATGACCTCCCTCTCAAGCGACACATTGATACAAGACCTCAAGATGCTCTCCTCATCTCTAGCTCTCTAGTTATTCTCTTCTCCTTCGTGATAACTTAAGATCTCTTCCCTTGCACTCGTAAGCCTCACACTCTCTCTATTTATAGAAACAAGAGAGTGGTAGGTGGGAGGTAGGTGAGCGGTAGGTGAGATGTGGTAGGTGAGCGGTACCATATTACAAAAGTGTCATTTTACCTTAATTCAATAATTGAGGGTCAAAATAATAATAAGATGCTTCTACTCATAAGGATATGATTTTTCTCGCTTTTGGGTAAACTTCATCAAATCCATTATAAATTAACATTATGCTCAAAATAACCTAAACACACTTATTAATCCCTGCCTGACTCATTTTTCCCTTCATTATTAGCTTAAATAAGTAAATGACCGGTACTTCTTCTTGCTACATATCCATTATATAATTGGCTTATACA